ACAAAAAAATATCTCAGATAACTTTCATAGTATGAGATCTTTCAATTCGCATTAAAAGCAGGCACATTTATTTAAGCCGAAATTTCCAAGGCGATCCAGAACAATCACCTGCTCTTTGTAATCATCGACAAGCCGCGATATCAGACTTACTTCTCGAGAAGGTGAAGGCAGAATGTTATCGTTTTTGGAAACCGACAAGACATCACTTATCTAAAATCTGTTTTTTAATAAATAATTTTTAAGGATGACTGGCGAATGGGGAGTAGAAAATTGCTGCGAGAAAAGCAAAGATATAATAAGTAGAAAAAACAGTCAAAAGAGAGAAATGAAAAAATAATTTATAGAAAAAAAATATATTATGTCAAGAAGCGGAGAAAAGTGCAGCCAAAGAAAAAAATTTCGATCCACCTGTCTTCATACATTTCTTTTTCAGCACCTTTTCAGCGCTACGATTAGGCCTCGTCTAAGACAAAAGAAAGAATCGCATTCGAGAGAATCATTTGCGACGCTCACAAGGCGGGCACGTACGATCACGCGTTTTTGCAGTATTTCGTGCTGTAGCAGGATCGACTGGAATTCCAGTAGTTAGAATTGATGATAAGCTTTTACGCATTTTACTGGAAAATAGATAAGCTTTTATCAGAGGGTTCTTCAACTGGAGAAGAGAGACAGAGAAAGTTTTTGAGTTAACGTAAGGTAGAAAGGGGCATCTGTTTTTGAGTTAACGTAAGTCTCAAACCTTTTCGTGCGGAGATGCTTGCAGTAGAATATTATATAAACTAGACGGGGAATGGATACCAGCTGATTTGGTTGACTCGGTTGACCTCCTAAAACTTGAGTCACTAATCGACAGCGATTTTTCACTGCTCTCAGGAATCCGTTTCGGCTGAACCGCTGCAAAAACCGAAAAAAAAAATTACTTCGTCTTATTGGATTGCTATGGTAAATTGATGCTAGCATATTCCAAGGAGTTAAACTTGACCCCACAGTCTGTAAGCGGGACGGAGTCATCGACCACCTTGACAGCAGGTGGTTGCTGTTGGAGCTTGCTACCACTCGAATTATTAAGTTTTCGTTTTTCAGAGAGAACAAATGCGAAAAGATTACTGACTCGCTGAATCCATAGTAAAAGAGTTTGAAAGAGCAGAAGAAAACACATGAAGCAGTGGAAGAGCAATAAATCTAGCAAACCCCTCTCAACGAAATATTAAAGGATTTGAAGAGAAAAAAGTAAAACCACAAAAATGCCTCTTTCTTTATAATTTAACAAAACGAAGCAGTTCATTTTCGAGCTTTCAACGGGCAATTAAAGAAAATGAGAAATCCATTTCGCCTCTTCATAAGGGATTTTGAACTGGCATTATTATCCGAAGTATCTGTCAAGAAAGTGAGCTAATCGTTCAGGATTTCTTTTTTTTTCTCGTTTATGAAATACAGCCATCAGATGGTACCATACAACTACCATATGGCACTACAGCACCACTAGATGATGTTCGGCACAATTAGAAGGAGAAAAACTGAAAAATACCTTTCCTGTCCATTCCCATTTGTTCACATTTTTTCAGTCGACATGCCCTACAGGCACAACGCGCATCTGAAACAAAACAGGTGAATCAGGTCTGCTGAATTGGGCCTCAGTGAAGAGTTATTACAAACGAAAGTCCATGGCACCAAGGTAAAACATTCACGGCATTACTAGATAAGATTGTAATAATTTTGCCAATTCTTTTTTTAAGCTACAAATATCCAGTTTTACATGCGCTTTCAACGCATCCATGATTTTCCTTATATCAACCAAAAATTCGATACTTATAACAAAAAAGAGATACTGTAGTGGTGTCAAAAAATAGGTGCACGAACTTTTGTCAACATGGCAGGTGCCCCCTCGACGGCAATGAAATTGCATTCCATGTGTGACGGCACGTCGAAAGAAAGCATTACAACCGCGACATGATAAGACACCGTAATGATAACCATCAGCAACATCACCGCATATACTGCATTCCCCTACGAAACAACTCGTAATATCCATCGAATGAAAGCGTGCTTAACAGACTTGACAATAATTTTCTGC